GTAAGTCGTGTTAAGAAAAATTATGTAAAGCCAAAAAAAAATTGTAACTCCTGATTCCTGAATAACCCATTAATGACAATATTGGGATATGAACTCTCGAGCTACATGTGTTAGTAGCACTTTTGAAATATTAAAATTAACAAATAGACTTATAATCATACTCCATATTTAGGGCTATGACAATTGCCTTGTTTCTTCGACACAAGGCGCTCGGTTAACGCGATCCAGCACATGCACATGTAATATATAAATTCATAGTTTCATAGGGCGCCATTTAGTAAAATAATCGGATGATTGTTACTTGTTAATTAGTACCAGAAACACGGTTTAGAAACTTTTCGACCATTATTATCTATTTATATATTTAATATCAATTTTCCTAAAAAGCATATTTGAACACAAATTTATAAATCTGTCCCATTGGTCGTTACTTAAATTATAAATTTATAATACAACTTGTTAAGTCATTAAGATTTACTGTAAATTTATAAATACAACATGTTTACTAAATATTTCATTTACGTTAAACTACATTATTAATAATTACTTGAGGATCGTAATGTTTTTGAACACTTGAATTATTTTTTCAGGGTTAGCGTGTGGAGTTAAAAAGAACGTAGACTTTTTTTTTTTTTATAAACCGTAGAAATTCCGAATTTTTGGCTCATAATCTCCTCAATATCCAGAATAAGCCTTTAGGTATTCTGATTTAAAGAATAACTCTCCGTTATCAAAGAAGTTTGAACCATGAATACAAAGAAACTTACCACTACACCACCACCCTTTTTGATAGTTAGTAGACTTTGCGTATACGCAACTATTTTATAGATTATCTATTTTTCACCATGCCACTTGAGATTTTTTTTTTTATCCTAAGATTTATTTAAAATTGAGCTCGATGGCTAGGTCAAATGTTTAATCACAATCTCCAATCAAGTAAGCAAACATTAAAGATTGATAGTTGTCGAAAGTCGTACATCTCTCAAAACACGCGCGTTTTTTAAGGGTACTTCTAAAAGGGTTTTAGAGTAAAACCGCCGGTTTGGGTTTGCTGCCTAATGGGCCTCTGAGAATTGATTTAACTTGGCCCATTTATATTACATAAACGGTGATTGAGCTAGTGTAGAAACACGAATGGGTTGTTTTGTATTCGATTTTTTTTTTAAATCATAACCTAATTTTGCCGCAAGTTATGGATTCGATTGAACAAAAATCTGCTGCTCGTACAGAGGCAATTAGCCCTCAAAGGAAAGATGATGCAGTCGAACAAGAGTGAGTATTCTTTCTTCTTGTTTTGTGTTGACTGAATCAAAAGTAGTGCTTTGATTTTGCTTAGGGGATTTGTTTTATTGGTCGATTGTTTGTACTAAAAATCCATTGTTTTAGAAATGATGTTCCACCACAAGCTAAGGAGCTTTTGGGTGGTAAAGTTGTCTCACCAAAATCCCAAGATCCAATCGCTGCAGTGGAGAAGAAGGAAGAGGTGTGTAACTGTTTTTCTTTTATCTATTAACAGTGTTCAAAAATACGCTATTCCCTAGCCGGGCGGCCGAGAACCGTACAACGCCTGGACGTATATACAGAAATTTACGTGGGG